TCGCGATGTGGAGAAGGTCGGGCTCGTCGGCCTGGTGTACAGCCTGATATCCCAGCTGTTGCAGTTCAAGTTCGAGAAAGACGAATTCGAAGTCTCTCAGGACGCGCTAGCTCGATTGGATGGATCGGATGAAAGCTGGCCGACTGCTCTCGAACTGCTCTCAGCACTTCTGGGGGCAACTCCACACCTCAGTATATGCGTAATCGACAGTCTCAACGACCTCGCATTCGGAGCAGGTGCGCAGTGGTGCGATGCTTTCCTAGGAGTGCTGTTCGAGCACCAGAAGTCATCAGCGGGCATCTTCAGAATTCTGCTTACTACTACTGGGCAATCGCGGGTGCTGCAGGATCATGTGAAGGTTTCAGATCGAGTGTTCACCCAGACAGAAGCGCGAGAAGTGATCCGAGGTGGGCGTTGGTACACAAGTTTAGAAAAGTGAGGTGGTTGGACGCGTGTTGTTCGCGTTGGAAGGTTCACTGGCGCGAACTCGTGCCTCGGCGATGGAGGCTTGGCAGCCATGGGAACATGAGGTCATCCACATTATTCAGATTTCAGTCATGCGCTGTATTTCTACATCCATCGTGGGTGGTTACTTTTTACTTTCGATGTGTTCGTCTGACCATCTATGCGCTTGCTTCTAGCCCTCCATTTTCTACACATATGGCAAACGTGCCTACAACGAGTCCGAGCCAAAGGCGCGTTCTCCTATAATTGGTAGGCGTGTCATCCCTAGGTACATGTAGCCTACAAAGCGCTTCCTCGGTCTTCCTCATTAGGTTCGTGGTTCATCATCTCGGGCATCTACATGTGTCCTTCTAATCCTTACTCCAGTATTCAGGTCCAGGTAAAATACACGCCTGGTCAGACAGAAACCCATTAGTCAAAGTCGATAAGGTCCCCGATATCGTCGAATGGCCGGAGATCTTCCATCTTGGTCGGTGCAGCCAGCCTAGCTTTGTTCTTCACTTTGTCATTCGATGGGGCCACCCAGCCAGCGACCTTAAGATCCATCCCGTGCATCGAAGCGGGCATTATACATCCCCTAACCTTATTGCCTGCTACAGCGCATTTTTCGCTCTGGCAGACGTGTCCGTGGAAACAATTTGAAGATCTGCAAAGGCCACCCTTTTTGCATGGGTGGCGAATCACTTGGTACTGCAGCGCCCTGTATGCTTCGGGTTCCAACACGCCGTGGTAGTATCGACATTTTGCGATGGTGCAAGAGTTGCCTAGATGGTGTTGGTTGCAAAGCTTATCCCGTTTGTAGTGCGCCTTGTAGATATCGATCTCCGCTGCAGGTGGCTTTGGCACATAAATGTCGATGCGCTGCTCTGCCGCATTCACGGGTAGGTGGCCGTCAATGTAGCAGGATGGCAACTTGCCTTCGTATAACGTAGCCCCCACAGTCTCGAGATCTCCACTGACATCGATGAGACTGGTGGAAGTACTTGTGTTGCTCGTGGAACGTGCTTTCTGAGACATGGTTAGTGTAAACTTATGGCATAATGAAGAACTGAACGCACTGCAGCGGTATCAGCCATGGGAGACTCTGTCGTAGTGTCAATCTGCGTTGTACCTCCAGCCTGGACCTGACCAATCAATGGTATAGAGAACACATTGCCGAATGTCACAACAGGAAACCCCAGCTCACTTAACCCGCCAGTATTGCTCGTGCCACGCACAAGTGTTACCTTCTTAGCCTGGCCGCGATAGGTATATAGTGCTCGGCGGTACAGAGACGAGCCCACGGCGGCAAAGAAAACGTGTTTGCAGTTCGGGTCGGCCATGTAAAACTTGAAGTTTTCTACACCAGGCATGTCAGCACCAGATATCTCATGCAGGAGAAGAACTTTACCACTAATCTTTGTCGGTACATGACCCTCGTCGCCTGTGTCCACAAAGTCGAAGAAGGAAGAGACCTTGGAGAATTCGCCGAAGTGGAACCCAAGGGATCTAGGCTCCGGAGAAGTGAGCTTAGCTGCGGCAGCGCGGGTCGAGAGAGTCTTCAGGCAGGCGAAAATCTTGATGAAGATATGGTACCCGCTTCGTGCGACTGCGGGAAGTATGGCTGCAACCCTCTCACCCACGACATCACGAAGACGCTTCGCTGTCTCAGCTCCTCCTGACATCTTATTGCGGTATAGTTCATCAAGAAACTGCTGAAATGTCAGATCGTGATCATAACCAGCGATTTGTCACATACCTGGTGGCTTGTACCATCGATGAGAACCAGCACAATGGCATGACCGCCTGGGGCTCCAGCAGTGCTGACTGTACTCGCTTCTTCTACGCCCTCTAACGCAGTTTGAGTTGAGACAGACGCTGTAGTCACACTCTTTGCGGCGGTAAGAATGCGCTCGCTCGCTTCAATACACTTCTCCATGTATGCGCCGTGATCCGCCGTTGCAGTCTAGTAAAAGATTAGTTGTCAAATACCAAAAAGAGATGGAAAGTGGAAGACAATACCGCCAAAGACTTCTGCAGGGCTCGGCCCTCCGCGAGCAGGCCCTGAAGTTCAGCTTCCTGCTTTGGCGTGTCCATGCGCGCTGCTATTGCCGATTATCGAAAGGCGCAACGCGGTGTCAGAAGGTATTGAACAAGGTAGCCGACGAACAAAATTTGCGCGACCCTAGAGAAGGAAGAAGAAACCAGGCAGAAGCGGAATATTGAGACTAGGATATGATTTTCCCGAAACGGAATGAGCGCTAAAGAGCAAACGCTCAAAGTTCACCTTCACCTCAAGTAGTCGACGTGTCAAGAACCAGAAGGGACGTACTCTACCACTTGATGAAAAAGAGAATGTGCTTTTGACTCAGACTGGGGCCTGACATTGGTTCAGACTGGTCATTTGAACTTGTACTTTGTCATCGCGGCTCTTTCTCCTACACTCCTCTATGCGACCACATCATTAGCCTCCATCTCCCTCCGCTGCTCCTCTTTCTTCCCCAGCTTACCCGAGCTCTTGTGGATACCCTCAATCACCTGCTTGATCTCCTGCAAGAAGCGATCTACCTCCTTCTCCGTACCCACCGTTATCCTCAAGCAGCCCAGACATCCGTGCTCCTTGCCTCTGAACCGCACTACCACACCCTTCTCTTCCGCCAAGCCCTCATACACCGCGAGCGCCGTCTCGTTCGATGGCTTGCCACCTTGATCCGCCGGTGCATCGAGTATCTGGTAGAGCAAGAAGTTCGATTCTACGCCACCGTGGAGCTTTCCAATGCCAGGAATCTTGGGCAGCTCCTCGATCAGCCTGTCGCGCTGCTTGACGATGAGGTCCTTGTGGCTTTGCATGACTTGCAGGTGCTTCGGGCTGAGGGCGGCGCGCGCAATCTGGCTTGTTGGGTTGGGAATGTTGTAGGGTGCCTTCATGTTGTTGAGGATTTGGGCGATCGCTGGGTCTGCGAAGGCAGCGCCTAATCGAATGCCTGCGAGGCCGAACGCTTTCGAGAGTGTTTGCATGACCACCAGATTGGGCCACTCGGCTACCCATTCTGCTAGACTTGTTCCATCGGGCGCGAAGTCGATGTATGCCTCGTCCACGACTACAACACCGTTCCATGGGTGTTCTAGTATCTTTTGTACGTCCTCCTTCTTGAGCAGCTTTCCGGTCGGGTTGCCTGGCGAACACAGGTACGCCAACTTTATGCTCTTGTCCTCATCCATGGCCTTCAGTATCGCGGGAACGTCGAGATCGAAGCTTGGTGTTTGTAGGGGAATCTTGGCCAGCGCGACGTCGTTGACTTGCGCAGAAACGCTGTACATGCCGTATGTGGGTGGACATGTCAGAATCTTCTCCTTGCCGGGGACGCAGAAGGCGCGGATCAGGGCATCGATCGCTTCGTCGGAGCCGACACCAACGAAGAGGTTGGCGGGTGCTATGTTCTTGGAGGTATGGGTGTGGGTATTTCGGAGGTTGCAGAGGAGTTGCTTGAGTTCTTCTTGGTGGCTGCATGAGGTCATCAGCGTGTGCGATGCAAGCGGTCGCGGTGTACATACGGATCTGGGTATCGGTTCAGGCCAAGCAAATCGACATCAATCGCGGAAGATGAGTCTGAGGTGCCATTGACATTCGCGCCAGGCAGCTTGCCCTCGCCATTCAATTGTAGTCCCGGCCCGTATGCGTTCTCGTTCGCGTCGAGGAGGATGTTGGTGCCGTCATCTTTGTAGTCGCTACGCGTCGTGAGCTGGGCACGGCGGTAAGAGTCATGGATATTCACCTACTCGCGCGCGCATCGGTACGGCTCCAATGCGAGAATGTTGGATCGCGCGCATTTCTGCAGATCGAATGCCGTGTTCTTTGCGACCATTGTGTATATGGTGGGCGGGTGGAAGAAGCTGGGAGTTGAAGTGGAGGACCGCTATGTCCAGTCGAAGTTGGTGTTCGCGGGGAACTTTTTGTTTCGCGGGCCGGGACGCGGCGATGTCGGGAGTCATCACATCATCGGAGAACTATTTTGATTGATCGAGCTTCGATACCAATTCATCGGAGCTAGTTCTCGGCGCAGGTAAATATGTCCATTTTCGGGTGAACTATTAACGTTTGGTGGGCGAGTATGCAGTCAAAGCTGTTGGTCGAATGACATATTACGTGAACTGTGGTACAAGCTCTCAAGCCAGGAGGTCTTCACAAGCTGTTCATATTACGATCAGAATACAATAGAGATGACTGGTGTACTTCAGTAGGGTACCAAATATCCTGCGTAATCCGAAAATGTCTTGAGGACCTCCTCAGCCATGCGTCAACAGTGGCTTCGCAAACCACATACAACGTAGTACGCACCTAGGTCGTCCAATAGAATATATTACAAGTGCTGATAGTCTAGCCTCGGGTCTTTGTGGGTCTGTAATACATAGGCTTGATGCGAGTTAGTCAATCTTGGTCGAACTTTTCCCTGCCCGATTTCCTGACTCGCATCTTTTCGATCTTCTTCCCCAATCACGCCAGCTGTCAAAAACTCTTATTATATTGTTTCTATTCACAGTCTCTTCCATCAATTTCCGATATGGTCTAGTGGCTAGGATTTGCCGCTCTCATCGCAGAGTAAGCTCGCAGCCTCACAGCAGCGCAGTGCCGGCAAGGCCCGGGTTCGATTCCCGGTGTCGGAAACAGTTTCTTTTTGCTGTTCTACAAGTTCTGAACAATCTAGAAACATACTAGATGTGTCTGGTTTGAATTAAATCATTTTTGCCAACTCAACGCACCCAGAACACCACCCCCACCAACTCAAACATACCTAAGATTCACCTAGACGTCCAGAGCGCCCTCTTCTTACCCCCAGCAAAGATTGGTATATTGGGGAATAATGGTGGTCGATTACTGTTGGGTTAAAGAAGCGAAAGTGCGGTCTGACAATGCAGCATCCTCTTGGTTCTCATCTTGGCCCCATTTTGACAGGCAGGCACATTATCTGAACGGTAAAATATCGCGTCTGCGATCCGCCAATTCCCTTTCGTCCAACACCTAGATGTAGTCACGAAAGCTTGCTCGCGCTTATTTCCAATATCCCGAAATGCCCAGCGAATTGCTGCGTCCCCTCCTCTCCACACCCAGGTATGCGTTATTGATCCCGTTCCCTCTGCGTACTATCCAATTCCACGGGCGGCCCCGGAATAATCCTCACGCTTGTTGAACCAGCTTCTACCGGCTGTGAAGTTCCGTCCGTCTCAGCTCTCCACTTCCCACCCATAAAGCGCTTCAGCCCTCTTGAGCTTCCTTCCATCTCCGGCACGTCTGGGTGCTGTCGATTTTGTCGTTGCTTTCGTCTTCGCCAAAGGTACAGGAGGACAACGATGCTGGATATGACGAATGCACCAATTCCGATGGCTATGCCGGCAATGGCTCCGGGGCTCATCATGGTGCTTTTGCGGTTAGAGTTGGTGCGCGGAGGTGCGGAGGTTGAATTTGTATCGTTCGACGAAGCCGAAGTTGTATCTCCGAGAGGGACTTTCAACACTGATGCGAGTGACAATGCATAATCACGGGGAAAAGCACCCATATCTTCAGAATTCCAGATAACTGTCAACGGGGCTGCTTGCGCTATACCGGACAGAAGTACAGTAGGCGCTTGCCTTAAGGTAGTGTTAATTCCAGTCGTCTCGGAAAGCTCATTAACATAACAGACTGATGTTACTAAATCAAGGGCGGAGATCGTAAGGTTTCCTTCACAGAGGTCGGTTAATGTAGTTGTGAAGGATGTGAGAGCCGTCATTGGGCTGGTGAAACGTTTTTCGCAGCTGGTAGACAGGACTCCAATAGTCATACCACTAGGTCAACGTAAGCCTGGGTAAGACTGCCTTGTACTCAAATGGGGTTGTTACCTATCACAACAGCGACCTATCCATTTCACAGAGTTCTGGTAATGCACCTCAAATATTCCACCCATAGTTTGACCAGCCGTGCACATTCCGGGGCTGTATGTTGGTTCTGCGTTGCCATACGGACGGCATTCGCGATCTTCCAGCCGATCTTCATTGTAAATATTCCATGTGTTGAAGATGACGACTGGATCAGAACTCAACTGGGTCCACCGAGTCGAGCAACCAGATGGTGGAGAAAACCAGCTCGTCAATAAGGGAATGTTCCCAGGACTGTAACCTCTCCATTGATCGAGATTCGTGGCGGTGCTTGTCACGATCAGATTCATAATTGCCGTCGTGAATCAAGCCATCGCAGAAACGTGAATGCAGAGACAATATATTAGAGCAACAGAAGAACGGGTCGGAAGACTGACTAGTAACAGAATGCTTATAGTAAACGACATGCTCTATGGCGGGCACCGAACATCCCCCAAGCTTACCGGCTAAAGTCCGTCACATGTTATTCAACAAATTGTGACGCAGTATCGGATCCAATCCGTCGGGACCGCTAAGACATCTACAGTGAAAAGAAACGCAAAACATTGAGATCGGTGTCCAAGAGGCAAAAGTGATGCAGTAGAAGCTCCGTTCCAGCCTTGTCATTCGTGCTGTGTTGTAGTGCTGACACCCAGTTAGTCCTTCGAGGAGATAAGACGGATGTAAGCCAACGCCCGACCGTAAGGATTATCTCATAATCCTTATTTGTTGCCACCGAATTAGCTGTTATGATAGACGTTGACAGGATTGCGGAGTTCATAGATATTGGAAAGCGGTGAAGGCTCGTCAAAATAGCAGGTTAGTAGCATACATGCTCACAGAATCGGTGCAAAGTGAAGATGATAACTTGTATTGAAGTCGGCATCGACTTCGTAATCCACACAGATCATCCATCTCACGCATGTCGCCTTCAACCCACATCTAGTTGGGGGCTCCGGTACCACGCGGCCTGTGGGCCACAGCGCGATGCCTTTGCGGCTCTTCCCTGTACCTATCAATTGTTAGCATAATCTCGCAATCCTACTTCTCGATGCTGACTTACTTCTTAACAATCCTCTCAATAGAATCCAATCCCTTCTCCAAAACATCCATCCGAGGTCCGTAGCTCAACCTAACAAAGTGATGGCAAGGCGAATCAAACAGATCCCTACGACGGCTAGGGTTCAAATCGAAGAAGATACCGGGAACAACAATGACCTTCTCCTCGAGACAAGCCTGGAAGAAGTTCAAACCGTCGTTGATACCTTCAGGTAGGTTCGACAGGTCGAGCCAGAGGTAGAAAGTCGAGTTGGGCATGTACGGGAACTTGAAGCCGATTTCCTGGAGACGGCCGATGACGAAGTCGCGCTTGGTGCGGAAGTGCATTTGCAGTGCGCGCATCTCGTTGCGGACGCGGGGTGGTGAGAGCATCTCTACGGCGGCTTCTTGGAAGGGCACGTTGCAGCCTCCGTCGAGGTAGGAACCGCAAGAGCCGATGGCTTGAATGAATTCCTTGGGGCCGATGACCCATGCTACACGCCAGCCGGGGAGACGGAAGCGCTTGGTGAGACCGTCGATGATGAGCACGTCGTCCTCGTCTACGTCTTCGACGTTGTCGGCGGCCGAAATGACGGTGCCGTCGCAGTTGGTGGTGTAGTTGTATCCGCAGTAGAATTCGTCCATGATCAGTGTTGCGCGGTCTCGGCAGATGTTCTGGATTTGTGCGAGTTCGGGGTTGGTGACCTAGTATGAAGTCAGTGTATGCCCCATATACAGCTTGAGATTCTGTCCTTACCATCTGACCAGTTGGGTTCCTCGGGTTCGATGTGAGGATAACGGAAGTACCGCGAGCGATTTCTTCAGCAATCTTGTCGGGAGACATGTGGTATTGGTCGGCCTCGCCTAGGGGAACGGGAATAGCAGCGATGTTACGGAAGAGCGACAACATCTCGTTGTACGCAGTGTAGTCTAATTTCGTCAGCTGCAGTCAGTGTGCTACGAGATCCGTCTGAACATACCAGGGATGAAGAAGCCCAAGTAGCAGTTACCCAACACAGCAGCAATACGGATCAAACCCGCACGTCCACCAGGCACAATACACACATTCTCCCATGTGTACTGGCTCTTACGCCACTTGCGGTGGTGCTCGTTGTATAGTGTCGCGACCGCCTCTCTCAGCGGCCTAATACCGGCAGTTGGGCCGTACTCTCTGCCATGAGCACTGATATCGACCTCCTTCGGCCTCTCAAAGCAGCCTTTGATGCTATCGTCGACTTCAGGCGCACCCTGACCTAGGTTCGCCCATTCTTCGGGGTGTTCGAGGAAACCGTGCTTGTAGGCTTGTTCGGATGTCCAGACGACACCTGTGGAGGCGCGTGTAGCGTCGAGACCGGCGTGTGGCTTGTGGCCCTCGTGCGACTGGCGGAATTGACGGTGGATGGAGGATCCGAGTTCTACGACATGTTAGTACTTGCCGCATACAACGTGTGTTATTCCCAGCTTATAGAGACCTGATTCGTGTCTGGTATGCGACATGACTGCGAGAAACGGCACGGGGGGAAAAGGCGCGATAAGAAAGGCGGCTAAAGAGGCTCAAGCAACTCCAACAAGACTCTCCAAGGAAGCGCAAAAGTTGGAGGAGGTCCGATAAGAACCTCTAGCGGTCAAGATCGGAACATCGAGAACCGAACAGCTGCCAAAAGCCCATCTTAAGCAGCGCGCCCCCAATTTTCTCAGATCCACTTCCATTGGGTTGTACACCTCAGGAATGACGTAGCATGGGCAATCGCGGGAGGAACAAACGGGTAGGTAAGTACGTACCACTCTCGCTAGGATCCTTCGAACTCGAGAAGCGCCTCTGGGAGAACGCGCCCTTGAGATGACTGACTTTGTCTGCTGAGAAAGACATCGTGTGTGTGTAGAGTTTGGTGGTTGCGCGAAATCAAGCTTTGCCTAGCTTTCGATGGAGGGGTGGGTGCGCAGATCTGCGTAGTGGGGTGTGGAAGGAAAGACGGCACACGGGAGGATGTTCGCGATAGAACAACGTGAACTCTAGAGGATGAGGGGCTCAAGAAGATCGATCGAGGGGAGGTTCAAGGGCCAGATAATATGTGTATGTAGGGTAGGTAAGGCGCATCGGCCCTTTATAACTCGCCGTACGAAGTAAACACGCGTGTCGTGGTGCCCTCTCGCACGCCGCTCGCACGCCAGGTAAAGCATCCACCCACAAACGCATGCATGCACGCATCCACAACTGCACATGTGCGAGCTGCGTTGGTAGCTAGCCCAATGCCGTATGTGACATTCCTTCTTCCGCTTCAGCCACCGGGGATAACACAGACACGCCTTGCGACGTTGCTCAGACAATCCCAATCCCTAATCAATTGCCTCACGGAGATGATGGAGGCTTACGTCTCGGATCGGCGCGTGCCTTTAGCTTCTAGATCAGAAAGCCCTCATCCTGGGTAACTTGTCTTCACCGCTTGACGGTATGCGTAGCGTACGGTAGTTAGTGCTGCCGACCGCATCGAGGCCGATGTAAGAACTTAGTCCATGCCACATGGGACGGATATGCAGGTCGGCATTGGCGTGGAGAAGACGCCATGCACGACGAGCGACATCGAAGGCCAGCCATGCTTGCTGCCCATGCAGACCCCTCCGAATGTGTGGCCAAACAACCCCCTGTCAGCTTACGCCTCAGCACCGCCAGATGTCACAGCTGCAGCTCCAAATGTCATCACCGATATGAGGCTTGTAACACTGGTCGCTGATCC